CTGTTCAGTGCCAACCACCCTCTGGGGGAAGAACCTTTGGCTGAGATCCACCCTGAGCCTGCCCTGACACAGCTCCAGCCATTCCCTGGGGGCTGTCCCTGCTCCCCCCAGAGCAGAGCTCAGTCCTGCCCCTCCTCTGCCCCTGCCCAGGCAGTTGGAACTGCAGGGAGGTCTCCCCTCAGTCTCCTCACTGAGCCTGGCAAGAGCTCTGTGGCAGAAGGTGACACCCAGGTGTGAAATGCTCTTGTCAGCCCCGTTCATGCTCAGCCACAGCCCCACTGCAGCACATGCTGCTCTTCAAACACTCTGTGCCCAACTCATCAGTCCCACAGCACCAACATCTCCTCAGCCTCACCCACACAGGGCTGAGCCTCCCTCTGTGTTCCCACAGAAGAGAAGATTTAGAGGGAAAACCAATCTCAGAGCAGCTCTGGCTGCTCATTTTGAAGCCCAGCAGTCAACCAGGCCATGGCAGATCCATCCCCTGTGCCACCCTGCAACCCCACTGCCCTCCTGAGGAACCTGCTGAGGAAAACTCTGTGTTTGCATTCAGAGTTCTGGGTCTGCTCAGGCCGGTTCAGATTAAATATCAAGCCCTGCCAATTGTATTACCTCATTATTAGCACACACTGGCAACAGTTCTGGGGGGGAATGGATGTCTGGCCACGTTACCCTCTGTCACATCGTAATTCATGGCAGGTGCCAGGAGATGTGAGGGAGGTTCACTGACCCCCCCCCCCCATCTCTCCTGACCCTCCATGAGTGTGACCTTTCATCCATCTGAGCTTCCCATCCACCTGATGTTGAGCCAAAGCCCTGGAAAAATTTGGCAACCCTCAAGCCCAACAGGAAAACCCCAACAGGAGTGTTTGGGAAGGAGGGGCAGGTTGTCCCTGGGAGTGCCAGGCACAACCAGCACCCCTGGCAGCTCACTGGGACCAAGCCCTGCTCCTGAATGGTGCTCATCCCAGTGGGAGAGGGAGGAGGAAGCTGTTCCTGCTTCTCACTCCGTATTTCAAGCTAAATCCCGGGAAAAAAATCAAGATAATCCATCGGAGCCAAAGTAGCCATAAGCCATGTAATATTAATTCAAGCTGTGGAGCAGTAATTCAATTTGCAGGCAAGGTAAATCTTTCAGGGAATATTCCCCTCTTTGCTCAGTGCCTCAGGAATTTCCCATTCCCCTGGTTCTTTTTAAGGCACTTGAGCTTCACATGAGTGCAGCTCCCAAACCCTCTGCTCAAACACTGCAACCACAGGCAGGGGAGACAGAAGAGCAATAAATTCCACCCCACCACCCCCCCCCAGTACACCCAGACTGGAGCTGCTGGGGCTGCTGAGCTGGATGAGGGGGAGGATCAACCCCATCTCTGCAGAAAACACTTCCTGAAAAGCCTCCAGCAGGAATTGAACACCTTCCATCTGCAGCCCATTCCTGCAGGTTTTGACTCCACCTCTCCCATTACAGGTCCCTGCACACCAGGAGTGTGTACAGAAACGGTGCCAAAGCCTCGAGTCTGGGAGACCACGAGTCAGGGAACGAGTGGAGATGGATCAAACCTGGGAGCCAAGTCCCCAGCGCTCTTTTCCCAAAAACACTCTGAGTTTCGGTAAAAGACCCCGGGAATTGGCACCAGGCTGAGCTTGGGCTTTGCAAAACCTCTGCCAGGAAAGGCCAGCACAGAGCAAGGCCCAATCAATCAATAACTTTGGGAGAAAATGCTTTTAAAAGTGACGGATTCTTGTTTTGCCCGTTCTCTCAGGAATGAGATCATTTCCACAGCCCAGCTCCTCTCTCTGCCAGGGTGTCTGTGCCTGTCTGGGGGACATGCTGAGCACCCTGGACAGGCTGAGAGCCCCTTCCCTGCTGAACACAGTGTTCCTGGGCAGCTCAGGGGTATCCAGGGATCCCCCCACCTCCCCTGCTTTCAGCTCTTCACACCCTCCCCAAGGATTCTGGGGTCTCACTGACCCCCCTCCAACCAGGGCTGCCTTCAGGACTCTGCTTTGGCCTAATTTCAGTGTTTGTACCCCGTCACAGCTCCCTGTGGAAGGGTGGGAGAAGGTTGGAGCTGCATCCCAGCTTCCCTGCACACTCTTGTGCCTCCCTTCCCGCTCTGACCAAGGGCATTTTAAAGGCGTTCTGCTCGTTGTGAGCAGCTCTGATTGTTAGAAAAGTCCTCCCTGGCTCCAGCATCCTGATGCTGCATTTCCCTCTCCCTGTTAATGGTGGGTTCTGTTTCTTTTATTACCACTCAGTAATTGTTTGATGAGCTCTCACAGCGGGACTTTGCTCGAAATTATTCCACCCCTCCAAACTTCTCCCTCGAAGCCCATCAACACTTCATTAGCACGGGGAGCAGCTCCCACCCACAGAATCTTTCACTTGTGGCCACAGGGCTGGGCAGCTCTGCCTGAC